CAGGTGTGTGCCCTCGCCCGCGCGCGCGCACACACACACACACACACACACACACACACACACACACACGTGCGTGCGAGCGCGTGTGTGTGTGTGTGTGTGTGTGACCCTAACTCAAACCTAAGGTCACAGCTGACCAGAGCAGTTGATTTGGCCCCTTCTTAGATCCAGCACTGTGAGCTCCACACACGACCAAACCAGATGTTGCCCCAAAGAGTTGGAGAAAGAAACTGACCTTAAGTCCACTGCCTACCAAGCCTACACCTGCAGTCTCCATGCAGTGGATAGAAGACCCAGAGTCTCATAAAAAAGATTCAAAACATTACAAACCAGGATCACTTGGCATCGTGACCAGCCGCGTGCAAGAAACCAACACGGGAGGACAAAGGTGTGGAATTCTCCAACAAATGCTGTAAAGCAGCTGTACAGAAATGCTCAGTGGAGCCATATTGAGTACTTCAACATTAGACTAGAAAGTATCTGAAAAGAAATAGAGGCTGTAGAGCCACATGGAAATTTTAGAAATGAAAGCATGGTTACCATCACTGAAAAGGCACACAAAAATGAGAGGCTCACCGGGCTCAGCAGCAAATGGAGGTGCAGAAGGAGGAGTAATGAGCTTGGAGCTGGGCCCCTGGGAAGATGTTTTCTGAGAAAGGAAGGAAGATGGGAAAGGCAAGGACAACCTCCGGAGCCCAGGGGATGCTCAGAGGTATGAGGTGCACAGGCGCAGGGCTGGGAGACGGTCAGGTGTGTGGTGAGTGTGTCCTCGGAGCTCCAGCAGCAGAGGACAGATGCAGTGCTGAGAAAAGTCTTGGGAGAACTAAAGAAACAGCCGAGTCTAGTGAAAGATGATGCGGGAAGCCAAGCAACCTCAAACAGGATGTGCCCAAGGAGATGACACAGGACGTCCGCATCCAGATGGCTGAGGACCAAGGACAGGCGCAGAGGGACAGCACCTCGGGCTGTGGGCACGGAGCCTGTGGCCTGGAGGCTGCCCTCAGTGTTGTCGCAGGGCAAGGCCCGCTGCACTGCGCGCCTGGACCAGCGGATGCGTCCCACAGGCTCATGCGGTTGTTTGTGTCCCAAGCCGCATCCTGAAGGGCTGGTTGTGAGGCTGCTCCGTCCCTAAGGCCACCCTTCAGCTTCAGTTGCAGGCCGTAGCCCCAGCCTCCAGCTAGCAGGTGTAAACCAGAGTTCCCACACCCCACTCAGGTTGTCCACGGAACTCAGGCAACTGCGTTTACCAGCGATGGAAGGGTACAGAGGAGAGACGCGTAGGGGAGGAGCATGGGCTTCCAGACTCTCTCGAACCCCACAAGTTCAGCCAGCCTGAAGCTTTCTGAACCTTATCCTTTTGGGTTTCATGGGAAAATTCTGGTTTCTAGGGCCTGACTGGAGAGGGAGTTAAGAGCTAGGAACCACAGCCGAACATGTATGTAATGCCCCAGGGCACCCCTGGTTTTCAGACTCAGATACTGCATATCAGAAGGACACAACTCCAAAGACTGCAGCAGTTCTGGAGTCCAGTTTTGGCAGTAGCAATGAGTCACCTCCATTGTCACGGAATGAATGTGTCTCTTGGGGCAGGGCTACGTGGCTTTGTAGGCTACACGCAGTCTTGCTGGCTTGCAAAGGCAAGAGCGGTCCCAGCAGACAGCCTCACCCTGCCTGGCACTGGTGTCACCGACAAGGGGACGGTGCCATCTGCACTCTGGGCCTCCTCCTCCCCTGCTGAGCTCTGCTGCTGCTGCAGTGGCCACTTTGCGGGACTGAGGCAGTCCACAGGGCCAGCCAGCAGGAGCCTCCCCATGTCCCGTGCTGGACAGCAAGGCAGCCCAGAGCCAACTTCCACAAATCCTGACGTGGCTGGGAGAGAGGGTGCAGCCACAGCCCCCTGCTCAGGAGTCCTCCACACTTCCTGCATCCAAGCAGGGGTCCTATATCCTGGCACCCGTTGTGAGGCAAGCAGGAGGGAGACAGAGCAGCCTCCTTGTCACAGAGCTTTCTCTGCCCTCAGGAGACCAATGAGGCTGGCAGAGACGTCTTAGCCCCCTGGAGGGTGTGCTTCCCCGTGATGGCTGGGTCTCCTCAGACAACAGCCTCTCACCTGCTGCTACCACTTCTCCACCTGCCACTCAGGGAGATGCCCACCCTCACAGGTGTTGGAAGAAATAACCCTCAGTGCCCAGACCCCTGCCCTGTCTCCCTTGCCATTCCAGATCCAGGGCTGCTCCCGCTGGGACCCATGACAGTGTCATGACTGGCTGAGTACCCTCAGCCCAGGTCTCTGCCCATGGGAGGCTCTGGCTGTGTCCACCTCTGTACTACTGTGAGGCCCACGGCACTCACTGAGGACCCAGGCGGCCACAAGAAGTGACAGCAGGCTCCGGTCCCCTCCCTCACCTGGAGGCTCTTCGGATGGCACTGACAGGTCCTGTCAGCACCCCAACTCCCAAGGACTCTGTGGATGTCCCCAGCAGGCAGACCATGCCTTGGCCCAGGATCAGGGGCCTCCACTGAGGCTGATGCTGCACTGGGCTGGGCATCTCCCCTGGTCAAACTGTCTCCCGGCTCTGGCTCTGGGCCCTCAGAATGGCAGCTCCAGTTGGGTTAACAGAAAGCCAG